CTCCTCTGTCTCTCTCTCTCTCTCTGTCTATCCCTCTCTTTCCCCCCCCTCTCTCTGGTGTTGATTCTTAACTCGTGGTCAGACATCTATCCTAACATCATCGCCATGGGTTTCCCCGCCGAGCGCTTGGAGGGAGTCTACAGGAACAACATCGACGACGTCGTCAGGTACGAACACTTTTCACCTTCACCTGCTTTTTGTTGTGTTCTGGGTTCGGTTTGTAGTACATTTGTATCAGCAGGCTCTGCTGTATGCTCAGTGTGTAGGGACTTGGGTTAGGAACCAGAGGGTTGGCGGTTCAAGTCCGAGTGCGGACCACAGTAAGACAGGTGGTCTGGTAGCTGGAGAGGTGCCAGGTCACTTCCTGTGTACTGCCCAGGTGCTCTTCACTCAGCTCATAAGCAGCTTCACTCTGATATCTCGCCTTTCATGCCACAGATCCTCGGCCTAAGCATCTCTCGAAACAACAACAACAGTTTGTAAAACCCAAAAAATAAATCCTGAAATGTAAGACGAGGTAGAAAAGTCACAGATGCTGCGTTCAAAGACACAGTGAATAATTGTGCATTAAAGTTTCATTTTGTTTTTTCTCTCTCAGGTTTCTGGACTCAAAACACAAACATCACTACAAGATCTACAACCTGTGAGTACTCCCACTATCCTTTAAAGGTTTCACTCTGACTTCCTGTCGATCTTGTCCGGCTCCGTGAAGCGAGGCTTCTATTTCTGACGGAGCACGGAGTATCAGTTTACCACAGAGCTGGTAATAGCCAATCAGTCTGCAGCTTTTGACCTGCAGTAAAATCTTACTTTGCATGCAAAGCATAATTTTAAAGTGGAGAAAGAGGAGGAAAAACAAAAGTGATGTTGAGGCCCCGAGCAGACGAGGAAAGTTTTAACCCCTCGTTATCCTAGTCTGTCTACAAACCCCCCAATGATGAGAAAAGTCCATCCTCTCCGTCTTCTGCCTGCTCCACTTTTCAGAAAATGTGTGCTCAAACAGGCCGTTTGGAGATTTTCCCTTCATGACATCACAAAGGGCAGTAGCCCCTCCCCCAGGTGGGTGACACTCCCACAGCTAGGTGTTTGTTCTGCCCTCTGAGTCTGCCTTCACACCCAAGACCTTCCAGAGAGGGGGCGTGGTCTGACACAGCTCATTTACATATTTAAAGGTACAGACACAGAAACAGCCTGTTCTGAGCAGGGCTGAAATAGAGGGGTTTATAGACATGATCAAATACAGGATCAGAGTGGATTTAGAACAAGAAACTTCACACACATGTTTTGAGGAGCTCTGAGACTTATTTGAACTGAAGAGGAGGAGGAGGATATGTGACCTTTAATGAGCTGAGACATGATTTGTTGCTCATATATTGCATGAAGATGACTCTGTCTGAGTGTGAGTTTTGTTGTAACGTGTCCCTCTCTGTCCACAGGTGTGCTGAGCGACATTATGACACTGCAAAGTTCAACTGTCAAGGTAACGCTCCTCGATAAACTCCCCCCGTCTCTGACTTCTGATCAGGTTAGTGAGCTGCAGGTGAGTCAGGTGTTCACGCTCGTTGTTTGTGTCTCGCAGTGGCTCAGTACCCATTCGAGGACCACAACCCGCCCCAGCTGGAGCTGATCAAACCGTTCTGCGAGGACCTCGATCAGTGGCTGAGCGAAGACGAGCAGCACGTTGCCGCCATCCACTGCAAGGCGGGAAAAGGTCGTACCGGCGTCATGATTTGCGCCTACCTGCTGCACCGGGGGAAGTTTAAGATGGCTCAGGATGCGCTGGACTTCTACGGAGAGGTCCGCACCCGCGACAAAAAGGTACCAGAAACCCCGTCTGTGTTTACTGCACATGCAGAGTGAAATGACTGAACGCGTGTTTGTAACGGCGTTCTGTGTTTTCAGGGCGTCACCATCCCCAGCCAGCGGAGGTACGTCATCTATTACAGCTTCCTGCTGAGGAACCAGCTGCTCTACAAACCTGTCGCCCTGCTCTTCCACAAGATGCTGTTTGAGACCATCCCCATGTTCACCGGAGGAACCTGCAGTACGTCTGTCTGTCTGTGTGTGTGTCTGTCTGTCTGTGTGTGTCTGTCTGTCTGTCTGTCTGTGTCTGTGTGTCTGTCTGTCTGTGTCTGTCTGTCTGTCTGTCTGTCTGTGTCTGTCTGTGTCTGTCTGTGTGTCTGTGTGTCTGTCTGTCTGTCTGTCTGTCTGTCTGTGTGTCTGTCTGTCTGTGTCTGTCTGTCTGTCTGTCTGTCTGTGTCTGTCTGTGTCTGTCTGTCTGTCTGTCTGTGTGTCTGTCTGTCTGTCTGTGTGTCTGTCTGTCTGTCCGTTTGTCTGTGTCTGTCTGTCTGTGTGTCTGTCTGTCTGTCCGTTTGTCTGTGTCTGTCTGTCTGTCTGTCTGTCTGTCTAACTCTGTGGGTCTGTGTGTCTGTCTGTCTGTCTGTCTGTCTGTCTGCCTGCCTGCCTGTCTGCCTGCCTGTCGGTCTCTCTCTGAGTTCCTGATTACCTGTCTTCCTGTCTTTGTCCTCTCAGATCCTCAGTTTGTAGTTTATCAGTTGAAGGTGAAGATCCACACCTCTAGCCCCGCCCACACCCGGCGGGAGGACAAACTGATGCTGTTCGAGTTCCCTCAGCCACTTCCTGTCTGCGGGGACATTAAGGTGGAGTTCTTCCACAAACAGAACAAAATGATGAAGAAGGTGAGACACCTCCATTATTCTCCTTTCTTTTAAAATCACAGATGTTGAAAAACGCTGACACGGCGTCTGAACTGAAACACCTGTCCTGATTCCGTCCTGTGACTTCAGTCTCTACTCTTCCAGGAAAAGATGTTTCACTTTTGGGTAAACACCTACTTCATCCCGGGCCCGGAGGAGGGCCTCGACAGACTGGAGAACGGCAGCGCCGGGACGCCACGGGAACCCGGCGACAGAATGCATCACTACCCGGGGATGATGACCCCCGCCGCCATGATGACGGGAGGAGAACCTAACGACAGAGATTACCTGGTCCTGACCTTGACTAAAAACGACCTCGACAAGGCAAACAAGGACAAGGCCAACAGGAACTTCTCCCCAAACTTCAAGGTAAGACGTTCAGCGAAGTCGTCCGCCTTTCCAACGCCGTTTGTGAAAAAGGATACCGCCGACGGACACGTTGCCGATGTTTGCCGTCATTTTGTGGCATCAAAAAAAAAAATGTTTTTAACAATATTTGGTGCCTTCTCTTATTTTGGTTGCCATGGTTACAAATCATACCAAACAGGACTGAACGAGATATCGTTGTGCGTGTGCAACTTCAGTCAAGTGACCTAAGCGCGTCACGCTGCCACTTTATCGATGTTTGACGCAAACAAGAAAAACTAAATTTTCTCGTTTTCCACGACCTAGTGTGGAATAAAAAGTCTGATACCACCGTCACAGAACTGACATTTACGGAAGGCTGGGCTAATGCTAACAGGTATTAGCTCGTCAATAGAGCGCCACAGGAATGAGTCCTAAAACCAGGAAGTAAGTTAGCATGTTAGCGCCATGGGGTCTAACGTCTAAAAGTCAACGTGGATTTTGAATGTGTTTGTGGTTAGACTCCTGAAATAAGGTCTGTGGTTAACACAAGCTGAAGAGATGTTGGTGTTTTGTTAGAGCACATAAACTACGTTAGGTAATACCTCCACTTGTGAAGTTTGAAGTTTTTACTCGTCTTTAAAAAGGCGGTTGCTAACAAGCGGCTAAATGTGACTACAGTGGTTGTCGGGGACATTAAAGGTCATCACGCCGGACACAGAGGGCGGGAACTCTCTCACTAGTCGGAGATGTCTCCTGTAGGTTTAATCTTTAGGTTCAGGTCAATATTATGTTAGTAAACTATTTATTAAGCTACGTGGATTAGTTTATCAGAGATTGTCTGAAGCATAACGCTAGTGATGTCACAATCATCCCACCGTGGTGTAGTTAGCTTGTAGCATAACGTTAGCTTTTTACTTCTGTCGGCCACATTAACGCTTCAAACATCATAAAAATGGCGTTCATCTGTGAAGATGATCCTGCTGAACAAAACGCCTACGCCTATTCTGGTTAGAGTCCATGGAGATGCTACTTCCGGGTTGGCCTACAAAAATACATCATATGGTTTTGTATGCTGTGGCCGCATTCACAGACTGTAGAGGACGTTTAAGGGGCTCTGTGGTAGAGTCGGTCGTCTCTCAAGTTGTGTGTGTCAGAGTCGCTCTCAGAGGACTATCGTTCAGCTCTGATATCGACGTTCAAACTCTTCAGCAGGATATCTTCCCCCGATTAATTGCAGGTAATTTTCTGAATCTAGATCGTTTTTCATTCTGTTTTGCAGGTGAAGCTGTTTTTCACAAAGACGGTCGAGGAAGGAGCTAACTGTGACTCGAGCAGCACGTCCTCGGTGACGCCCGACGTCAGCGACAACGAACCGGATCACTACCGCTACTCAGACACGACGGACTCGGACCCGGAGAACGAGCCTTTCGAGGACGACCATCACAATCAGATCACAAAAGTCTGACACACACACACTCACACACAAACACGTACACACACACTCATTCATTCATATACGTATATGTATATATACAGGATATATACAGTATGTATGTATACACACTCATGAACCCCAAGCTAAGACTAGCCTGTTAGCTAGCGGAGGGAATATAACCGACGGACCAGGCCTGATCTGAGGACTCTGACATTAAAGAGCTCAGGTCAGTATAGACCCCCCTCCCTTCCCTCCCTCTAATCTTCTGCCCAATGCACAGCTGGACAATCACATGACATGGCGGTCAGAGGTGAGGAGGGCGGGGCCAATGGACGGCGAATGGACAATGAGACAGATGAATGGACAGACAGGAGATAAAAAATAAAGGAGTAAAACTTGAATATAAACAAACTGAAAGACAAGTAGACTTCTTTAGTGACTACACCAAGATGTTTGTTGGATAAACCCCATGTGTCCTTCCTTCCTTCCTTCCTTCCTTTCTTCCTTCCTACCTTCCAGTTAAGCAGACCAATCTTCATTTTTTTTTCCTTCTCTTCCTGCTTCAATCCTCAGTTCTGTTAAGCTTTGTCAGGGGAGACAACTCTTCTCTCTGTGTGCTAGCATCGTTCAGTCCAAATTTTTACAAAGCTATGACTTCGCTGTAGAACTCTTTTTTTTTGTCATGAAATGACCTTGTGTTGATTTTAAAGGCCAGCAAAGATTACCATGAGTTTAAACACCCCTATATCTTTTTTTATTGGTGTCATATTAGGGAATGATTAAGCTAACAATCTTCCTTTTTTTTTTTTTTTTTTTTTTACAAAAATATTTTCCTTCTTGAGTCCAACAGGCACTTAACTGAAGGACACTAAAAACAGAAACCCAATCAGTTAACCATCAGAAGTTGTCGGTTCCGCTGCCAAATTGATCTCATTAAGATAACGACAGCGTCTCAGTTTGACCCAGTTTGTTTTGAGGTGGCTCAAACTGGATTTTAAGTTTCCACACATCAAAACAAACCCAGCAACACTTTGGACAATGCTGGACCGTCTGGTCTGGTCCAAACCAACTTAGACGACTGTTCCTCATTGACTCAGAGTAATCCAGTCTGACTCACTTGGTTTAAGCAAGTTAGCACATGATTGTTTGGGGAAAGCCTGAGCTGCTCCAGACCCGTCTATTCATGTCAGTTTGGACCAACGTACTAGAGTTCTGGCCTGTTTGGACCACTCAATCTTAGTTGGTGTGGACCAGTCAGAAATGGTTTGGATCAGTTGGTGTAAGATGATTTGTAATGAGTCATTTTGGGAAAACCCTCAGTGATTAATTTGGCAGCAGAACTGGTCTGTCAGAAAACGACAGCGTCTCAGTTTGATCCAGTTTGTTTTGAGGTAGGAGATTAGCTCAAACCAAATCAAATCAAACAGGAACACCTTGGATCATGCTGGAATATCTGGATTGGTCCAAACCGACTGTTCCCATTGACTCAGAATAATCCAGGGACGTGATCGGTTGAGCTGCTCCAGAAACAGAAACTATCTTTGTCAGTTTGGACCAACGTACTAGAAAGTTCTGGCCTGTTTGGACCACTCAATCTTAGTTGTTGTGGACCAGTGAGAAATGGTTTGGAGCAGTTGGTGTAGGCTGATTTGTAACGAGTCAATTCTCCGACAAGCCAGTCTTACAGTTTGGACCGCTCAACCGCTGTGAACTTAATGGTCTAAGCTGGTTTGGACGAGTCCAAGTCAGTTAGTAATGCAAATACATAAAGGCATTCTTTTACCTCATAAATCTTTTAGATGTGATGGTTCTCCATGCCAAGTTTATATTGCTCTTGACATCGGAGACTCTCCCCTTCTGAACCCCCTAGGATTCTTTTTAAACCGTCTTCCCAGTCTTGATTACGTTTCAAACCAAGTTGGACGGGTCTTCTTGCTGGTTTTTTGTCAAAAAAAATCTGACCAGTGTTTGCCGGTTTGGACTGGATTTTGTAAACAGCACACAGAGAGACGTGACGGTTTGAATGTGACAATGGGAAAGAGAAACTTTCACAATCTGCTGCAGTTCTGTCAATCATCTACTGTCTAAAAAAGACACCTACAGTACAAACCTACTGTGAACAAAATGCTACTACTGCTTTTCTGTCTTGTCTGTCCGTCTTCAGTTTTGCACAGAAGGATTCTCTTCCGCCCTTCAGTCAGCTCCTACAGTTCCAGCAAACATATTTTTGTTATTCTCTGACTTATATCCAACATTAAGCTAAACAATAAACAAGCTACACACAGTATAACCATTCCTTCAGCCGGATCTATACACTTATGTAGGCTAGCACACACTGATGCAAACTAAAGCAGAAACCTAGGACTCGAGGCGCTCGGATTGATGGGTGCCATGCCGGTGGCGGGGTTTGCACATTATAAGGACAGTTCGTGAATATAGATGCCTTTGCACGATGAGTCTATCCAAGAAAGCTAATATGGCTCATGTGTAAGTAGTTTTGTCAAGCTGAAAGATTGTTCCTGAGACTCTGTGGGGTTTTAGCTGAGCAGGCTTGAAGTCAGGACGGCATCTTCAGGTGGGGTTTGCTTGATAGAGTTCAAGTAAAAAATAAAAAAAAAGATCTAGATCGATTTCTGTTCCATGTGCAGCTCCCTTTTGTGCTCCTAAAGAGTTGAATTGCGGGTTTACTGGCCAGGCAATGTTGAGAAACCCAAAATCAACCAAGGTGCTTGAGTTGTGTTTAAGCTTGTCATTGAACCAACAGCCGACTGCTGACCATACAGCTTCCAGCAGGTTCCACAGGCGATCACCACCGGTCTTACGAGCCATTAGATTTAGCCTCCGTGTGTCTTTGGTTTCTGACAGTTCAATAAAAGGTAATGTTCTATAACTATAACTCTGTCCGTAGACTATTAACCGTTTGATTCATTACTACTTTGTGGAATCCTTGGCGACTGTCCCTCTTGACAACCTGGGCAGTTTGGGAAACATGTTAGCATTACAGCAAGTTTGAGACTTTTCCATCCGGGCTATACAGAAGCCAGTGACCATAAGGGATGCTCCGTTTTCTTTATCACCAGGGCATTACCAATCCCAATATATTCCCAAGGAGGTTCCTGTATTTGGGACTTTTACTACATTTAACATTTTATAGATGTACCCTCTTACATTGGCAAAGTAAGGTTCCTCCTATGAGACAAGTGTTCTCCACCAAAAGCCCCTTCAATTGGACTTAAAACTGACACAACCCTTCACTTTTCAGAAATAGGTGTTGTTAAGAGCTTCTTGTTTGTCATAGCAGCCCAATTTGCCCTGATGGCTCTGAGAGATTGGAGCATCCTTAATGGTCATCTTAACAAACGTCTGCTTCCAGATTGGACGTGGGTAAAAAGTTTAAGTCTTGATGTCTGATTTTTTTCCGTCCTAACATTTGGTGCTACTTCCTATCATTGGCTCGGTGTTGGCCCTGTTTGACCCTAAAGTTGTTGAAGTTGTTGCTATCGACCCTGTAGGCCTTTTCAAGATTGTGGTCACACAAGATGCATTTCAGAGGCTCGAAAACAACAAAAATTTAGATTTTATTCTGCAAATGAAGCCATTGTCGCTGTTGGACCCAGTAGAAGATGCCGGGAAGTACCGTTCCCAACCTTTAATTCCATCTTGGTGTCAACTGTCCCCAAACTCAGAGTCAATGCCGCAGTGTTAACCAGCATTGGAAGGCTAATGACATGTTGAATGAGTTTTGGTTACAGTCATGACATCCCAAATGTGAAAAAGAACAGGGTCTACCCCTACAGGTTGGGGAGGGAAACGGTTCCACAGGTACTTGTCTGGGACTAATCCCAACATCCAGAAGGCACATGTTCCTTCTTAGTTGTGATACTCCCAAACTCCTCCAAGAAATGACCTCTGAGTTCTTGGCTAATTCTCAGCTCAGAGACCCTTGATGGTTAACAAATAACATAATGGAAGTTGACTCACTTTCTCTTGAAAGAAGGAAGTGAACAAAATAGGAATTCTTGACAGATTCTAAACATCTGAATTACAACAGTAGCATTGGACAGAAAGTTGGACTTAAGTCTTGGAATAAGAAGAAGTTGCCTACCTGTGATAGTATGTCCTGTGTGACCACATCTTGAGGTTTAGATCTCTTAGCTACATGCTAAGCTAACAGTAAACCAGTCCATTTGAACAGCCATTGGTGGGCCTACACTGAATTTATTGGGTTTTGAGGTGCTAAGCTAAGCTAAGCTAGGGCAAATTTCTGAGCCTGTTGCTCTTCTGTGGTGCTCTTTACCAGCCACGAGTGTTCGTCCAGTCTCGATCTGTGACGCTGAGCAGCTCTGTCATCAGTGGCGCTATATCCACAGGCTCTCTCTCTGTGTGTTTGACAAGCAACAGCAACACACTTCCTGTCCTGAGTCCTGTTAGGTGCTGTCAGGCCTGGCCTCACCTCCTGTCATCAACCGTGTGGACTTGTTCAACAGAGGAGTTTAGGAGCTAAAAATGTTCAATCAGAACGGCTACTTGAAACAGTTTGGATTCCAGAAGTAGAACCAGCAAACCTAAATTTTCCCCAGGATCATAACCATTATTGGGCGTCAAATGGAATTGCTCAGTCAAGGTTAGATCCGTTGAATTCTCTTTATCAAACAAGTAATTCTTTGATAACTTCTCCATTGGTGATACAATCTTCCCTTTTACCTCCCATAGCATCCAGAATCGTATTAACACTTGCGATATTTGCACATCTAACCAGCTAATTGGTTGATACATGTGTTCATCAGGAGGCGGGTATGAAATGTCAAGTAAATGTCGCCAAACATTGCCCAAGTTTGGTTCCAGGCCTTAAATCGAAATGCGTACATCTTAAAATGTTTTAACAGCCAAATCTTCAAAATGTGAACATGGGCAATCGAGCAAATTGATAATGTCTTTTTTATAGTCTTCAACCATTAAAAATAGAATCTAAGCAAGTTTAAAAACTGCTGTTGGGAAGACAAAGTGTAGAAAAACCTGATTTGTAATACTTCCTGTTGAACATTGGTCAAACACCCCCATACCGGGTTTTGGGTACTTGAGGCCAGGTTGGTGCTGTCCATGTCCTCTGACTGTTTGAGGTGCTCTTCGTCTTTTACTTTTGACAATTATAGCGGTGTCAGTCGCTGGCAACACATCTGGGGTTATTTAGACGGAGGTTGTTGTTGTTGGAAAGGTTAGAAAAAACAGCCTTAAGTCAGGATAAAAGATTTTTGTCCTGAACACAAAATTCAATGATTTGGCGACATGCAAAAACCTTGCAACAAAAACTCTGAAAGAAATGTTTTGAAACCCAAGTCCCATCAGACGTTCAGGGATCTTGTCAGACCCATCCCCCAGAAAACCACAGGAAAGTCGAGAATCAGTTAGGGTTCACACAAAACCCTGGACCGCAACAGTTAGATGTTAGCCACTTTTCCAATTGAAGTGTCTGAATCTGGAATCTGTAAAGGATCCTTGAACTTGGCTTCTTGGCCCCAGAAAAATTTACTTCCAACCTTCAACGATCCTGGGTTACACGAACAGTTTCACATCATAGACGAAAACTCAAACTTGTGTAATTCCTTCAGAGAGAACGCTTCTTTGTTTTGTCGACGATGCTTCAAACCTTTCTGTTTACATCTCATACCAAAACCTGCCAAAATGAAGCTCAGACTCTGTTTTGTTTTTTTTGTATGTTTTAGTTTGGAGTCTACAAAGTGAACACCGTCAATATTCATGTACTCTCTACTGTTTTTGCCTTAAGGTGCGGTCACACTCGCCCTCGGGCTAACTGCCCTGCGCTCTGTTTTAAAGAAACGTGACGTTAGCATAGTCGGCTTCATGATGTGTAAAAAAGCTTCACTAGAATAATGGAGTCAACATTTCAAACTCAGTGTATCAGTGTTTTCTCTTCGCTCCAAGTACATACTTAAAAATCCCTCAAACCTGAGTAGTTGCCGGAGATCCCGTTAAAACAGGACGTTCATTCTTGAATGTGTCATTTCAGCTTCTCCTGAGGTGAATTAGTGAGGAAGTGTTCATAATGAGGCGTCCTGTGACCGCACCTTTACCTGAAGCCAACGACCGTTTTCTGCTCCTGATGAGAAAAAAAAAACGTCTACAGCCCAGAGTCGGCTACAACCACGACCTCTGTCCATCTCGGTAGCTTCTCCACTAAAGAACAACATCATCTGCATAAAAAAGCAAGACAATGGAGAATCCATTTTGGGTTTGTTTTTTTTGGTACAGATTCTGAACTTTTTCGCGTTGTTTCTTCAGGAGCAGAAGGTCGAGTTGTTTAGCTTTCGGGTTTTCAGCTCCGTGATCTACAGTGTTTCTGTTTCATGATGATGATTGTCTTGTTTTTAATTGCCAGGCATTGATTTTGTAATCAATCAAATTGAAAAAGAAAAAAAAAACATCATAACTACGGGCCTGTATCACCATGGAAACAACATTTCATGTTAAACTGACCCCCCCCCCCCCCCCCCCCCCCGTCCCTCAACCCAGTTCTTTATTCTTCCCCTTCCTTGTTTTATAATAAAATAAAAACACTGTAAAGGTGAATAAACTATTTATAAACAGCTATCGGTGTCCGTGATACTTATTGGTGGTATTTTATTTTTAAGAACTACAACTCCCATAAAGAATGAAGGGAAGTCGTTAGGGAACCACTCTCAAAAGCAGAGCAGACGGACTTGAAACAACCAGAAAGAGATACAACACCATGCAAAAAAATAAATAAAAAGGTTGATCTAAAGATAACTGGACAGGTTGAAGATCTTTCAAGACGTTTCACCTCTACCCCACCAAAAGGCGTCTTCAGTTCTAAACTATCTGGAGAACAGAGATAGTTTAGAATTGAATACGCCTTTCGGTGGAGGAAAGGTGAAACGTCTTGAAAGATTTTCAACCTTCGAAGATCGAGACATGAGCTAATCAGACCTGTTTTTTTTTTTTTTTTGAACCAGGCTGTAAACATGTTAATCTCTGCTTTAAAAACTGGCTTTTTAGAATGGGTGTGTATGTGACTTCCTGTGCTTCTGCAGCCAGCCTCCAGTGGACACTCCAGGAACTGCAGGATTTTACACTTCAGCATCGGCTATATTTTTTCAACACCAGAGGTTTCTGCTTGCACCAGTATTCCCGTCACACTGGACCGACGGAGAAGCCCCCAAAAAACGATATACAGATTAAAAATACGTCCATAAATCATCACGTCATAAAGATCGGGAACACGTCGACCCTGCAGAGATGACGATGTGAGCACAGACTCCAGGTTTCTACATTACTGTCTGAAATCTACCAGTGACTTGGCAGAACTTATAATCGCTTCCCCCACAATGCAATGCAGCGGCACTACTGAGCGCACTTCCAAACGACTGGAGAACAGGCAAGGAGGGAAAATTGGGTCACACACACACACTGAGCCTTGTGGGCACCAAACCATAACTAATTCTGTCTTATCTGCTTCTATAAAAAGATCAAAGAAAGCAGCAGAGGAACCACAAACCAGCTTCTTCACTGCGTCTGTTTGACTTTATTCATCAGCACACATCCGTCACACACACACACACACTCAGCACCGACCTATAGGATTCTGTACATCTCATTGTTTTCAAGGTGTATCCTCTGTTGATCCTCTTGATGCTGCTTTAGGTTTTCCTCCATTTACAAAAATCATCCCGTCCACACAAAAATGTTCTCACCATTTCTCATCCACATAGTGGGAGAGTAACTGTGTATGTATGTGTGAGCGTGTAACAAGTCCAGTTAGCAACGTTAGCACCAGCACTATTTCAAATGTTTAAAAGACGACTCGTTCATCGATTCAAAACTTTATTAAAGACAAAAACAGTAAAACATAAATCTGTAATTAATCACTTCATCAGCTGTTAACAGGTTAAATTAATCCATTTAATGATTGATCCTCAGTCCACAGTCGTTCTGGACGGGCGTCACAGCGAGGCCTTCAGCAC